ACATTATTAGCTTGCATATGAAATATATTTTTTATGATACATTGCATTTATGCTCTACTACTAGGCCTTCAATTCTGTGTAAAATTTTCTGATTTATGCTGTATTTTTTTTTTTTTTTTTTTTTTTTTTGAGACATGAAGAAAATATATTTAGTTTTTTCACATTTCCCATTCATTTCAATGTGGGGTCATATTGACCCCGAAGACCAGAAGTGTAAACATTTTTTCAGAACAACCGAATCAAGCCCAGTTTTTTGTGTGTGTATAGATAGATAATGTATGAAAAGTCACAAAATCTTATTCCACTGAGATGAAGGGAAGCTTTTTTTTATTAAGTTAAAGTCGATTGGGGTCGTATAGACCACATGACCCGATTGAGGGCTACGCCTGCATTAATATTGTAAATAATATTCAACATTCATATTCAAGAAAGACATTTATAGGCCAAATGTAATCTTTTTGGTGGGGGCTGAGATGGGACCTAGAGAAGGAATATATATATATCATTCTCATAAATGTAATGTAAACAACATCCTTTAATCTATCTATGTGTTTAAATGTGTTTAATATTTTTTTAAATACTTTTTGTATTACATTAATGACACTAACAAGAATCACTAAAGAATAATTGGGACCACAACAAAAACTAAAATCTGCAGATGCATGAGAACACATCGGTAATGAGGATTTGCAAATGCACATATATATATATATACAAAATATGTACAATATATTGTTCATAATAGTTTTATTTTGTGGTGGTGAAATATGATCTACAAATGGTCAGGAGATGTTTTTTTTTTTTTTGTGAGATTCACAAGAAAAGAATGGCAAAAAATGGGAAAGAAGATACAACTCTTCAACTCATCCAACAAATAACTGGCAAAAAGAAGGAATTTGGCAATCACATTCTCTTCAGTTTAAGGCTAAAACATCTCCATCACCTCTCTCTGACATGTTTGTTGAGTGATAGGGGAAAAACTCCTTCCGAACCCAGTCCTACTGAGGTGAGATGTCAACTTTAAAAAAATGACCTTTGACCCTAAACAATCCCCAGGCCCTGGAATGGCCAGTTTGGAGATTGGGGCTGTCTGATCTGTCAGCACTGAACACACTGCTAAAGAGCCTTAATTCTTCCACCTGCAGTTAAATGAGCCCTTAAAACGCTGGCTCAAAGGGAATGACAAATGCTTTCCACCTTACAGCTTGATTCGGACTCCAAAACCAAACCACCATTCAAAAACCTTCTTCCAGACTCCTAGCATATTGAAATAATCTTTTTCCCCTGTGGTTTATTAATCAAATTTGTTTTATCATTACAAAATTAATTTAAAACAGATTTTTGGCTCTTCTATTATTTTGCAAGTTACTTAAAAAAAACACACAATGAAATACCCAATGGATTTAGAAATTTCTACGAATTTGAGTTCACTGGGTCAAATTTGTCAAGTCTAGCAGCAATACATCTGGAATTAGTCCGCCGTTGTTTACTTACTAACGTGTTTTCTTTTTCTCTTTTCTTCCTGCTGTCTTCCTCCATTGGAAACCCCAATTTTCTAAGATTGTTACACAGCCTCGGGCTAAAAGTCTATTCATGGCTTAAAAAACAAGATGGTCGGATAGTAATCAGCCTGTTTTGTCGGAATGGCGTGAAATTTCATAGAGGAACAAACAGGGTCTACTCAACATAAAGTCAGTGAGAAACAAAGAGAAAACACAGCTCTAAAAAATGACTGAACACAAAACCATGAGCACAAAGAACAGCAATGAGTAACTACCTTTGCTCGGTTTACTATTAGAAAAGTTTAAAGCTTAACTGTGGAATGTGCACTTGTAGTGTCCTTCAAACCTAAAACGTTTTTTTTTAGAACTGTTGCACTGTACTGTAGGTAATATTATATTAATTTAATAAAAGGCCACTTAAAGGTAGGGTAGGCAATTTATTTTACAAATACTTTTTTGTTATACAAGTTGAAACTCTCTTCACATCTTGGTCAATACTAGAAGTGGTCTAAATATAAAAATGTACATATATCGGTTTCACTTTATTTGGATGGTCCCTTTAACACATTCAGTTGACTATAAGTAACATTGCACCTACATCTCTACTAACTCTCACTAGAGTTTTAGTAGATTATTAGTAGACTGGTAGGGTTAGGGATAGAATAAGTTGACATGTAGCTGCAAAGTTACTTATAGTCAGTGGATTGTCTATTGGAGGACCATCACAATAAAGAGTTGGCAGGTATTAAGAAGACAGTCTACTAATACTCTAATGATAGTTAGTTGACATACTGTAGTTGCAAAGTTACTTATAGTCAACAGGATGTTCAAAAGGGACCATCAAAATAAAGTGTTACCTTCTGGGATTTATGCATTTCTCTGTCAACACTATCAACGCTGACTTGAATCTGAAGCCGTCAGGTGCAAGTAAGAAAGCTGTGTAAGTTGTTTACATTCATTATTGTTGTAGTGTTATGTTCTTTGAGATATAAGGTAATTTAAGGCATGGCTTTGGAGACGCTTTGAAGGGAGGGTGGGATCTCATGCTTTCAAAGCTAGCTTGCTAATGCTAGCCGCTCTGAAATTGCCTATAGCTTTAATGCCGTCTCTCACGACGCTTTTCAGAATCTGCTGTGTAAGTTCATGTGTTTTAAAGGTGTGTAAGGCTTTTGAGACACTGAATATGTTTCTTATCTAAAAAATTCCTTAAAAGTTTTACTTTAAAGTATATTTAAATCATTGTTTAAAAAAAAAACACTTTTGTCATGCTTTAAAGTACACCAGTGTTATTTGTGTTGACTAACATGCTAATGTACATGTAAAGTACTTAATTTTAATGCAACATGACATACAGTAGAGTTAAAAAGAAATTACATTTTCATTGAGCATCAATGCTTGTCATTTGTTAGTAAAATGTAATATTTGAAAGACAATGGAAGTACTTATGAAATAACATATACAGATGTAATTAAGCCCTACTTAAGTTTGTCAAAAAAGCACTTTAAGTGCATTTAATTAAAGTTTTTCATTAAATTTTAATTAACATGCAAGTGCCCAAAACATTACATTCACCTTGCACTTATATTATTTAAAAGTATATTATGTCATAATAAGTACTCAAATGTAGTTTTCAAATGTATGCTTAAGTGTACTTCTTTTTCATAAGATGAACAATCAGATATGACGAAGGTGAAAATCCCACCTCAGATTTATTACGGTTAATGTATCTAGTTAGGGGGTTAACAATGTGTCTATTGCTTTTATTAAGCTAGTATTTACAGCAAATGCTGTAAAGTAAAAACAAAAGAACAACAGGATTTAGGTTAACATTTTCCAGTGATCCAGAAATCCAGAATTTGATGTCATGTTTCAATAATGTTCCTTTTAAATGGCACAATTGCATTATAAAATGTGGAAAAAGTGGTTAACTTATACTATTTAAATTATGATGGCAGGCAATATTGCTAAAAAGTTAAACTTGTTTTCATCTTGACCATGTGCAGAACACCTTGATGATACCTGGAACCAGATGTGGTATATTCCCCGTCCTGATCTTAAACCCTTGTTTAACTCTCTTCCAGTCCAGACACATTTACTTTGGCATTACATCATGCTTTTTATTGAGGGAATTCTTTTCATTTTCATGCTTTTCATGCTAAAATCTGAGCTAAGAATGACTCTCAAACACATATCAAATTATTTACAGGCTATTTAGCCCAGTTTTTTTTTTTTAAATAAAAAGGCTTCGTCAGCCACTTCCAGTTATTTTAGGTGTTGCAAACTGTTTTTGTTATCATATTGTTTTAATGTAATATCATAATCTTAAACACACAGGTAAGTAGTGAAATTCGTTTTACTGTTTACTGCACTTCATATTCTTAGTTATTTACCTATAGTGGATAATGAATTTTAACATTTACAGGAAATTGCTTACTTCCGACAATCTCTCTTTAAGCGCAATACTTTGTTTGAAATATTCACAGTATGGGTTGTGGGCAATATTAGATCGCACTTCGAATTCTTGCCGGAAATAGTACACCATCAGTGTATCTTTGCAATACTAATTTCAGCATACTACGATTTTTGACACACTAATTCTAATTTTGAATAGTATTTAAGATGGATACTAGTATGAAAATTCAAACAAATCGGTTGAGTGAATGATTCCATGACTCATTCGTATTATAAATCAGTTGAAAAACTAATTGAATGAGCATTTTTAAAGGGATAGTTCACTTTGAAATTAATTGTTGGTATGTTTTAGCTGACCTCAGGGGCATCCAAGATGCAGGTGTCTTTGTTTCCGAAGTATTTTCAATTTTTATATTTTTAGGTCAAACCGTTCTTGTCTGTCAGTCATATAATGCAGGTCTATGGTCACCACCTCAAAGAGCATGTACAGAGAAGTCCAAATTAAACATGATTTAATGACTCGTAAATGTAAGTACACATTGATGGCCTAAGAC